AATGAAAACTATAGATAACAAACCCACAGCTAACATGGTACTCAACGATAAAAGTCTGAAAGCCTTTCTTCTAAAGTCAGGAAGAAGACAAAGATGCCCGCTCTCAGTCCTCCTATTCAAGAGATTACTGAGGTCCGAGCCAGAGCAATCAAGCAAGAAAATATAAAAGCCACCAGAATTGGAAAGGAAGAAGTGAGATTGTCTCTATTTGCACATGACATGATTTTATAGAGAGAAAATCTGACAGACTCCACCAAAAAACTGTTCAGTAAAGTTGCAAGATATAAATTAACATACAAAAATAAGTAGCATTTTTTATATACTAATAATGAGTTATATGAAAGAGAAATAAACTGATCCTATTTACAAGCCCACTGAAAGCAATAAAATACTTAGGGATAAATTTAACCAAAGAGGTGAGAAATCTCTACAGTGAAAACTATAAGGTGGTGATGAAAAAACTTGAAGACACAAATAAATGGAAACATTTTAGAAGAATATTAATGTTCACATACTAGAAGAATATTAATGTCCATACAATGCCAAAGCCATCTACAGATTAAATGCAATCCCTATGAAGATTCCAATGGGATTTTTCACAGAAATAGAAAAAAAAAAATCCTCAAATTTATCTGGAACCTCAAAAGACCCCCAAAACCGGAAGCAATCCTGAAAAAGAACAAAAGTGGGAGGCATCACCCTTCTGATTTCAAGCTATACTATAAATATATAGTAATCAAAAGAGTATGGTACTGGCACAACCCCCCCTCCAAAAAAAAAAAAAAAAAAACCAAACCAGACACATAGAATGGAACAGAATGGAGAACTAAGAAATACACCCATGCAAGGGAGCCAAGAATACTCAGTGGAGTAAAGACTGTCTCTTCAACTCATGGTACTGGGAAAATTGGATATTCACACATAAAAGAATAAAACTAGACTCCTAACTTACGCCACTCACCAAAATTAACTTGAAATGGAATACAGATTTCAGTGTAAGACCAGAAACCATAAAAATCCTAGAAGAAAACATAGGAGGAAAGCTCCTTTACATGAGTCTTGGCAACGAGTTTTTGGATAGGACACCTAAAGCACAGGTCACAAATTCAAAAATCAGCGGACTACATCAAACTACAAAGATTTTGAAGAGCAAAATATACCAACACAATTAAAAGACAACCTACAGAATGGGAAAAATACGTGGAAACCATGTGTCTGATAAGGAATGAATATCCAAAATATATAAAGAACTCCTACTCCTATAAAGAGCAAAACCCCCAAATAATCCACTTAAAAATGGGCTAAATGCCCCAAAAGACATTTTTCCAACGATGGTACACAAAGGACCAACAGGTACATGAGAAGATATTCAGCAGGGAAATGTAAATCAATACTACAATGACGTATTACCCCAGACCAATTAGAATGGCTACCATCAAAAATACTGGAAATAACAAATGCTGGTGAGACATGGATTAAAAGGAATCCTTGTGCACACACTGTTGGTGGGATTGTAAATTGGTACAGCCATGGTGGAAGATAGTATGGAATTTCCTCACAAAAGTAAAGCTGAAACCACTATGTATGCGATCCAACAATTTCACTTTTGGGAATGTATCCGAAGGACAAAAAACCACTATGCCAAAAAGCCATCAGCATCCCCACATTCAAGGCAGTATTACTTAAAATAGTCAAGACATGGGGGCCGCCTGGGTGGCTTAGTCGGTTAAGCATCCGACTTTTGCTCAGGTCACGACCTCACGGTTCGTGGGTTCCAGCCCCGCGTCGGGCTCTGTGCTGACTGCCAGCTCAGAGCCTGGAGCCTATTTCAGAGTCTGTGACTCCCTCTCTCTCTGACCCTCCCCTGCTCACGCGCTCTCTCTCTCTCTCTCTCTCTCCTAGAAATAAATAAAACATTAAAAAAAATAGTCAAGACATGAAAGCAACCTAAGTGTCTATCAGTGGATGAATGGATAAAGAAAGTATGGTAGATGTATACATTGGAGTATTATTCAACCATGAAAAAGGAGGAAATCCTGCCATTTGTGATAACATGGCTGGACCTTGAGGGCGTTATGCTAAGTAAGTTAGAGAAAAACAAATGCATGATCTCACAAGGGGAATAAGAAAAACAACCCAACAACTCAAGGAAAAAGCAATCAGAGTTGTGGTTACCGGAAACAGAGATAGGAGTGAAAGAGGGAAAAGCAGGTCCAGGTGGTCTCAAACTACAAACTTCCACTTAGAAGATAAAAAAAAAAGCACTAGGGACGCAATACACAGCATGAAGACTATAGTTAACATTGCTGTACAGTATATATTAAAGTTAAGAGTAGATTCCCAAGAGTTCTCATCACAAGGAAAAACATTTTTATCTCTGTGAGATGACAGATGTTAACTTACTGTGGTGGTAATGTCATGATATATGTAAGTAAAATCATCACACTGTATATGTTAAACTGTGCTGTATGTCAATTACATCTCAATAAAACTGGAAAAAAACATTCCCATGTTGGGAAGACAAAAATTTTAACAATCTGGTATATAAAAAAATCTCTCACTTCAGTCATTTTGCATTTGTTTAATAGGGTGCTGAACATTTTTTATAGGTCATTTGTCTTTTGTGCATTGCCTTGACAAGGCAAATGCTGCTTTTTCTATGAAGATCTTTGCATTCTTCTTTTGGATTTGTAAGCTCTGTTTATATCTCCCATATATAAATAATGGGAGATCCATTATTTATAGTTACATGTCATAAGAATATTCCCGTGGGTTTTCATTTGCCTTTTATTTTACTTCATGGTGGGTTTTTTGTTTTTTGTTTTTTGTTTTTTTTTTAGGTACCCGAGTTTTTACACTTTCATATAGCCAAGCACCAATCTTTTCCTTTATAGTTTCTTTCTTTGCTTTTATGCTCCCACCCAAAGATATTTCTAGAACACAAATCTGATGATACCCCTCCCTTAATTAAAATCTTCCAGGGGCTCTTGGGGATAAAACAATTCCAGCTGCTCCTGGTGCTGGGGCCCCAAGGCCCCGTCAACCCCCCAGGCACTCACTCGGGCTTAGAGCCAGGCCAGGAAGTATACGCAGGCCTGGCTACCTAGCGCAGCGCCCTCTGCTTGGAAAGTCACCCCTCTCCAGCTTCACGGGCTCACTTCCCACCTCAACCCCCCATTCATGTACATCACTGAAGCCCCAGCACCTGGTCTCCAACAGGCCTCTGTGGTGGTTTGTAAGATGCATAACTCGAATGACAAGCCGGGTCTCAAATCACTAACGGGGGAAATGGCTCTCGGGGCCAATTTAGGATCCCAAGATCCAACTGAGATGCTAGGGGCTGAGACTCCGGGAAAAGCAAGGGGGACAAAGGAGAGCTTAGAGCCCAGACAGCATGGGCAGGGTGCTCTGAGGTGGGGGGAATGGGACGTGTGTATATGTGGGGGGCTGAGCTGCTGGTGGAGGGAAGGGCAGATCAGCTCGCAGCGCCACGAGGCCAGGATTGGGCTCCCCATGAAGCTGACGGACGGTTTCAGGAAAGGGCTCAGTTCTTAAAGCACCAGCCAATAGTCACTTGAGGTCCCGAGCTAGAGCCTGTCTCACCACCAAAACCTCCTTTACCCACAGAGTCCCCCACCCCAGCAAATGACACTGCTGGCTTTCTAGTTCTCTAGTCCCGAAGCCAGAGTCACTAGATCGCTCTTCCTCCCACATCATACATCCCACCTGTCCGTGCCTCCTGGGGGCTCTACCTTCAAAGTGTAGCCAACCATGATACCACAGGGTTCCATTTAGAGGACATTCTGGAAAAGGCAAAACCACAGAGACAGAAAACTGATCTGTTGCCAGAGGCTGGGGGAGGGGGTGACCAAGGATCTCGTGGGAACTGGGTGGCCGATGGAACTCTCCTGATACCTGGACTGCGCGGGCAGCCACACACCCTGCGGGCACTTATCAAAGCGCACAGAACCGTAGGCTAAGAAGGGGAGTTTCGCTTTAAGTCAAGTATATTTTAATAAAACTGGGGAAAACCAAACTACCGGGCCTTTAACCATTTCTCACCTCCTGTCATCCTCGTGGCCAGCGGCGTGGTCTGGGGCCCCATCGTAACCTTGGATTCTTACTCCAGTGGGCTGGACACCGTTCTCCCAGCTCCTGCTCTCGCAGCCAGGGGCGTCCTTTCCAAACCAAAGTCAGTTCCTTACTCTTGGGCCCAGAACTCCAGAGGTCAAGGAACCATCCCGAGGTTTTTCTTCTCAGAGTAAAGGCCAAAGTTCTGACATGGCCACCACGAGTCTACAGAACACGGTTTCCGGTCACTCCTCTGGTGACTTCCTCTTAACCCCCTCCTCCCCGGGGCCACTCCACTCCAGCCGCCATGGCCTCCTTGCTCCGCCCTGGACATGTACTGCATGCTCCCTCCTGGAACGTGTTTGCCCCCGATCTCCATTCACATGGGCCCCGGGCCCTCATCTCTTTCAGGCCTTTGCTCCAATAGCATCTCCTCGAGGCCTTTCCTGAGCACCCTAACTACCGTTGCTGCCTAGCTCTTCCCCCACCTCACACCCCTATTTTGCTGTCCCCTCGTTTTATTTTTTCTCACAGACCATACATCCACCTGACACAGACGTATTCTGTTCCCTTCGTTTATTGTGTGAGTGCTCATATCAATGAGGACAGAGATTTCTGTGGCCCGCTACCCGTGCGTACTTAGGACGTTACTATTTGCCTGGCAGATAACGGCCACTCAGTTACACGTGGTAGCTGGGGTAAAGGCAGGTCAGGGGGAGAGTCCCAAGAGCCAGCAGAGACGGTCATCTCTGTGTCAGCACCTCTCTGCGCCTGCATTTCGCGCTCCTCCCCGCAGATAGTCTCGGACAACATGGAGTGTAGTACAGGCGGGCGCGGGCGCGCCCTGTCGGGCGCTGCCTCCCCTTCCTGTCTCGCCGCCAGCTCACATGGCCAACTTAACAGATGCTTTCTCCCCGTTTTCTCTCTAGAAGCAGATGTTCCAGGAGAGGAGTAGCCGGATGCTGCAGGCCTTGTCCCCGAAGCAGAGCCCAGTGAGCAGCCCTACCAGGAGCCGGTCCCCTTCCCGCTCCCCGTCGCCCACCTTCTCATGGCTCCCGAACAAAGCCTCGCCCCCCTCCTCACCCAAAGCGGCCTCAGCCTCCATCAGCAGCATGAGTGAGGGGGATGAGGATGAGAAGTAAAGGCTGCTGGCAGGCAATGAGAGCCACTCCACACAGGCTGGGGCCAGGGTGGGGTCCCCGGGCGCACCTGGGTGGGGTTGGAAGGGTCATGGTCGTGGAGGGGGGGTGCTGCGGCCCAGCTAAGGGAAGGCCTGGGGACCAGCTCTCCCCCAGTCTCCACTCGACCTAAATCGTGGGCTCTGCATGGAGGTTTCCAGCCGGACAACCTTGACAAACCTTCTTAGCAGCATCCAGAATCACTCTACTCTAACCTTGCTAAGGAAAGAGGCAGAGCACCCCCAGGAGACTTGCACCAAGTGGGGTGTCTTCTGTCCTGGTCCTTGCACCCACCCCCACTGAGTCCATCACCTGCGGAAGCGGTCTGCTCCTTCCAGCTCATAAGGGCCCTGCACGTTGCCTCCTCCCATCCAAGCTCTGCCAGAATAAAGTGGTTTCTCGTAGAGGCGGCACAGTGCTTCTGACCCGGCCGAGTTCCAGACGGAGTCCAGCTTCCTCGGCTGAGCCACTGAGACCTGATGTTGCAACACACCGATCCTTGCTAGGTCCAGGAACGTGGTGCACAGACCAAGACACGCTTTAGGCCAGATACCTAAAAGGTCATCTAGCATGAATCTTAACTTCTTATCCGAAAGACAGTTTTGTCGAGGAGAACGCCACAGAAGGCCTAATATGTTCCTCGTTGTACTTTTTCATCTTTGGTTTGGCCTCACGGCTTTCCAGAAATTACCTTAATCTGTGGGAAATGCAACAAACAACATTTTGCGTGCGTGTCACACACACACCTATGTAGGGAGAAGCTGCTCTGCTTTGGCTCTGGGTTTGGCAGATGGTCAAGGTCTCCTGGAGCTTCTCCTTAAAGGATGCTAACTGTGGAATGGCTTTTCCCAGGTCCAACCACTTAATAATTTCGTGGACCTCAAGGAACCGTTTGATGTACCAAACCACATAGTATGCCAGTAGGGGGTGCTACCTGCACGTCTCTGTCCTACGTATGCTCCACATGTGCTCTCCGGGGTGTAGACCATATGCAATACGAATATATGGTGGTAGAATTGTACAGCACACTCTCCTGCTCTCACCCTAATACCCTGCTGAAGTCCTTGGTCTAATGAACTACCCAGGTCCCTCGTGACTTGGGCGCTTTGTCAAAAACTCATCCTGGATTCCTGTAGCAAGGTCTTGACCCAACCAGGAAGTGAGCGTGCTGTTCTCACAGCCTCCTGTCATAGTTTTGGGTGGAGGGAGGCTCTGGAGGGTTTCCCGGAGCAGTGTCGGAATCTGTTTGATCTCAGCATAGACACGGTCCAGGCGGTTAGACCGCTGAGCCCACCCCTAGGTGTGCCAGATGCAGTTGCGTGCAGTTCCTGGCCACGAACGACAGGGCGGGAAGGAGCAGGCGGAGTCAGGGGGTAGAACCACACTCTCAGGTAGAGGAGGCGTGGCCGGTCTGTCCCAGTACAGCCAGACACAGCTGGGGCCCGAGCAGAGGCCCAAACCAGCAACTTGGGACAAAAGCTCAGCACCTCTAGTGACAGAAACACCCCTCTTCTGAGGCCTCGGGAACCAGCCTTCTGGGTGACAAGTGTGGCAACCAATGAAGGAAGGTGGCACGTCTTTCCCCCTGGTGCCGGGGCTGAACCGCCTCCCCGCCCACCTGGAGAGAAGTGGTGTTTACTGGGAAGCAAGACGGTGAGGCTGAGCCAGCTTGGAGCCCCGTCAGCCCCGGCCCCCTCTCCAGAGGGATGATGAGCACTCGTGTGGGACAAAGAGCTGGCCGGGCCGCGGCCCGCGAGAAGGAGCCTGTTTGCGGTCAAGGCCTGGAGCGCTGCCCTGCCTCGGGGCGGAGGGAGGCTGAGGAGAGCCAGGCAGGGCCAGGTGGGGGAGAACAAGGGAAGGCAAAGGGAGAGAAGAGGGGCCTCGGGAGCGGAAAGGACACTAGAGAAGATCTATGCTCTCAAACCATCTCAGGAACTAGGCGCGCAGGGGAAACTGCCTTGGGAAGGCCTCCGAGGGCCTGCTCCCTCGCCCAGCGCAGGCCGCCCTTAGCGGAAGTGTGCTCCGAAGCCGCTCATGTGGGGCTGATCTAGCAGGCCTCCCACAATGTGCCGACAGGTGCCACTTGTGTGACCCAGATTCAGCGCCAGGTACGGGAAATGACCGATGTGTGGGATGTTTCAGGGATGGGCCGCAGCCGTTCCAAATCGCACCCTATGTGGCCCTGCAGACCTCCACCAGTACCTCCCCCCCCCCCGTTTTAAGGCCATGAGACTACTGAGAAGGAATGCGGAGCCACGAGTGTCTTCCAGCCCTCCCCCCAGGAAGAGTTGGGGGTGCTCTTTGTTTGGGCCAACCGATCAACAGTAATGAATGACCAAGAGTGAGTCAGGGCCGAAGTGAGAGATGTTGAAATTATGCACAGGCTCGAAGAGGCAAGCAGAAATGAGAGAAAGCAAGCAACTGTTCTCTCTGCCCCTAGGAAGGGAAGGAAGCTTTAGACGGAAGACTAGACAACAGCAGTGAGAGCTGCAAAAGGGGGCAGATTACAAAGACGGGGGAATACGAGGGTGGAGGGTGGGGGAACAGTGCCTTTCTGCTCCCTTTCAAAGTGTCACTCACCCCCTCACAGGTGAAGAAGGAAGGCCTCCTTTCACAGACCCCCAAGGTTAGTGAATATCCTCGCGGCGTGTGGGTTCCCTGCCCCGCCCCCCCGGCTCCCCCATCTCACCACTTCTCCATTAGCTGCCACACCCTCTTCCCAGGGCCCTGAAATCAAACGCTCACCCTTCCACCAGCTCAAAACCCAGGGCAGCCCTAATACCATAGCCCGCTCCCGTGTGCCAGGACCATAGAAAAGTCAAAGAAACCAACCTCAAGACGAGCGACCCTGAGACCTAAGACTGCCTTCTGACCTGCTCTGTGGGCTTGCGATCTCGCTCCTTGCCTCAGGCTGTAGTCACTGTGAGTCCGTCCCTTGAGGGAGGGACGGGAAGAGTGTGCGTTTGTGTTCTCTTCAGCTTCGGGACTTCTTTTAGCGCCCAGGTGTACCCCGGGGAGAGGTGCGCGATGGCGGCACAGACTCAACTGAATCAGATGAGCCCGTTCCGAGCAGAGATGTCCCTGTTCCTCAGGCATCCATTCAGCACTAGTCTTGGCCATCAGACTTTTACAACAGAATAAGCTCATGAGGAATTTGCAACTTCTACTTCTCTCTACACTTGAGTTTTTTGTTGTGTCACTGCGACCCGCACCGGGACAAAGCCATAAGAAGAGCACACAGACTTAAGACTCTGCTGTACATACGGGAAGACGAGGACTCGTCTGGGTTAAAGTACGACCTTATGCCCAAGCATTTGCTCTGGTGCTGAATAATGCAAACTACTGGAATCAGCCTTCCACCCCTACCCCCTCGCCCCTCCCCAACCCACCCTGCTCCCAAGTGGAACACAGCCTTCCCAACTTGTTTATAAATAAAGGGATGCATAATTGCACGTTTGCCTGTCGTGTTTTCTCAAAGGGTGCCTCCGCGTGGCCGTGTATGAACTCCAGCCCAGGGCGCGGAGCGCAGGTGTGGCAGCTGTGCTGCTCGGCCGGCTGCGGCCCGGGGACTTCAGCAGCCTGGGGCTCCGCGCTCGGGGCAGAGGGCCCACGCCTGACTGAAAAGCTCGTTAGGCAGAGAGCTCCCTTGGGGGTGGGGGGGAGGTCACCACTGGGGTCCCCCAGTCGCCACCTTGAGCTCTAGGTTCCACTGCTAACTGGCTTTGTGATCGCGGCCAAACCGCGTCACTTCCGTGGCCTCAGTGGGTTTTGTAAAACGAGGGGGTTGATGGAAATGGCTTCTGAGGTCTTTGCCTGTTAAGGTCTCCGAATTTATGATGCAAGCAGCAGTGTCCCTAAGCTGCCCCAGCTGGGATCCTGTCACTAAGTGACCGCGAGGAAGCACTTACCTCTCAGTGAGCAGACAGCCAGAGAGGTGGCCCAGCACCGCGGGTGGCAGCTCACACGCCTTGGCCCGCAGGGGCCCTCGGGCTGCCCACGCCGTCCTCACGCTGCCACCTGGCGAGGGCCTCACACCTGTACCCGACCCGCGCTGTGTGCCCATTGCCACCGCTTTAACGTCTTTCCGGAGGAGCACCTCTGACAAGACGGACGCAGGTAGGTGGGGGTGGAGGCCCTACCTCACCCGCCCGAAGGCCAACAAGTGAGGCAGGTTTGCTGGGCCGAGAATTGCGCACGTGCCCTCCACTAGCTTGATCTGGAGTTTCGATGAGCTCCGTCTGGTGAGGTTTAGCTCCGAAATGACAACAGTTCTAACAGTAGCCCAGACTCTAGAAGAAACAGCCAGGCCTGCGTCTGGCAAGGGAATTCATTTAAAAACAAAACCTACTATTCGTAGACCGTGTTACTCGGCTTTGCCGCCGAGATCAAGCACACTCCTGACAGGCCGTAATCCCAGCAAAAGTTACAGGTTTCTTCTTGACTTCATGAGGCCTCAGAAATGTTCTCAAAGGAAAAGCATTCCATTCTAAAGCACAGTGAAATTCATGCCGAGGAACTCTCATGTTTGCTACAAAGAGAATTAGCCTTCGTTCGCAAACAGAACCCCTGAGATAAAAAGATAAAAAGAACTGTTGCCACACACGCCACACACGCCCGCACAGAGTCATCTTGTACCGGAGGCCTCGCTGGGTACTGCACTCACGTGTTTAAATAGCTTCATCAGTAGGAGGCATTAGACAAAAAGACTCCCAGAGAGATGCCATCCGGTCAAAGCATGACCATTCACAACCCCCAAATATACCCAGTGATTAAATTCTTTTTTTTTTCCAGTGATTAAATTCTTTAAGACACCATCAACTTAAAACCAATAAATCAGTAAAATGTGAAAGTATCATTAAGAGCATAAATATCTGTAGGTGCTAATCGATCTTTATTAGGCCCCGCTGTGCTGCTGTAACTTAGATTCTAGGGGAAAAAAACCTTATTAGCTGACTCTCAGCCGCAGTTGACCAGATGTGGGAAGCTTGAGGAGAAACGTTCTGAGCAGGGTTGCCTTGGCTCCTACAAGCAATTTTTATTCTCCTTACCTTCATTCTCTTTCTTGGTGGGGGGGAGGAGCAGGGAGGGAAACTGACATGCCAGGTTACTGTACTGTATTCATAAAAGCAGAGTTCTGATGGAGGGATTAGACATAACTAAAATATTTGATATGTAACCTTCCATTTTAAAAGAATTAATGAATCTATACCTGAAAGAGTTGGGATACTTTACCCTTTCCACAGGGACCCTTTCAGCTAATTATACTTGCAGACGAACTTGTCACTCGAAAATTTCCAAGTTCAAAGCGAAGCTGTCATCATCTGCCATGCACGTGGCAGGACATGACTGATTACACAGCTTGACGAGAGAACGGGTCTTCCTTGCCTTGTACTCACATTCCACTGGCTACATTTTGACAGGACACCATTCACTGGCCTGACCACACACATCAGTGTGAACACAACAGAGTCACTGACTCTATTTTTTTTCCCATATCTGGTGCCCAGGGCTCAACAATAGCTGAAAGGAGTTGAAGAGGTATATATTAGTTTCCTACTTCTGTAACAAACTCAGCGGCTTAAAACAACACAGCTCTGGTCAGAAGTCCAAAATGGGTCTTGCTGGACTAAAATTAAGATGTTGGCGGCACTGGATGCTCTTGGGGAGGGAGGGTATGTGTTCTTGTGTTTTCCAGCTTCTAGAAGCTGCCTGCATTCCTTGGCTCGTGGCCTCCTGCCATCTTCAAAGCCAGCAAAGGCCAGTGCAGTCTTGGGGCGCCTGGGTGGCTTAGTCGGTTAAGCGTCCGACTTTCGCTTAGGTCATGATCTCGCGGTTCGTGGGTTCGAGCCCCGCATCGGGCTCTGTGCTGACTGCCAGCTCAGAGCCTGGAGCCTGTTTCAGTCTGTGACTCCCTCTCTCTCTGCCCCTCCCCTGCTCACGCTGTCTCTCTCTCTCTCCCTCTCCTAGAAATAAATACAACATTTAAAAAAAATTAAAAAAAAAAAAAAAGGCCAGTGCAGTCTTTCTCACTTGACTCCTACACGCCTCCCACCTTTATCTTCTACTTAGGAGGGTTCTTGTGTTTACACTTGCCCACCTGGAAATGCAACACACTCCCCGTATGTTAAGGTCGTCAGCAACTTAAATTCCTTCTTGCCACGTAATACAACATTTTCCCAAATGCTGAGGATTACGATGCAGACGTCTTTGGGGAGCCGTTATGCTGTCCACCACAGGGAGCCTGAAGACAATGGTCATAAACCCTTGAACCTTTTTCCAGCGCCTGAGCAGAGGAACAGCAACCCCTATGCAGATAGATTCATGTTCCTCTTTTTAACATTCCCGTATCTGCTCATGATGAACCTGCTTAAAAGGCTTCTCTGGAGTCCTGACGTCCACAGAGAAGCATAGCATAGGTATCATGGGAGACGTCTGACCCAAATGAACACGCTCACTGGTCCACGAGGAGAGACATGCTGGGTCCTCAACTCAAACATGGAGCCACGGCGGGTAGAGAAGGAAGTTTAAGCGTTTCCCTGCCCCCTTCTCTGTACATACCCTCCCATTCATACTGGGCTGTCTCAAGAAGACAAGAAGTAAAAGGGCAGCGAACCAGGCTTTGATCAGATGGATACGTTCCTGCTGCAGCAGGCCCGGGCAAACAGTTTCTGACTATAGGGCGCAATTGGTTTCCTGCCTATGCTCGTGGCTTGTGTTTTTTTGTTTCTTTTTCTGGTCCTTGGAAGTCGACTATGGCCACTTTAAGCTAGAACTCACTTCCAGCCATCCAGCCTCAGACTACTCCATGCTCTTTCTAGAGTAACTTCTTTTCCCTCTGGAGCCTTCCATGAGCATTTGCACTCCTGTCTGGAGCATTCAATAAACATTTGAGTGAGCTGCTAGTTCCCGGGGACATAAATATTCAAGAGGACACAATCCCGCCCCCCACGCCAGTTTCAGCTCAAGCCCAGTAGCTTGACTCTCAACTCTGGCCTCTTCGGACTGGCTCTGTCTTTGACTTCCCTAAGCTTTTTTTTTTTTTTTTTTTTTTTAACATTTATTTATTATTGAGAGACAGAGAAACAGAGCGTGGGCATGGGAGGGGCAGATAGAGAGAAGGAGACACAGAATCTGAAGCAGCCTCCTGGCTGTCAGCACAGAGCCCGACGCAGGCCTCGAGCTCACAAACTGCGAGATCATGACCTACACCGAAGTCGGACGCTTAACCGGCTGAACCACCCAGGCGCCCCTCCTGAGCTCTTGATGAAAAGTCTAGGTTTCTGATTCCGCCAAATAGAGTTTTACAGTACTTTTACTAACAACTAATTCCACAGTATTTTACTAATCTCTTTCGGTGTGGGGTGCTCTTTCTCCAGGCGCAAGAGCTGCCAACTCTTAGAGTGGGGGGAAATAAGTAGATTTTAAATAATAAGACTTTCTGTTTATTAGAAACCACTCTTTGAGGATTTGCCGAACGGAGGAAGGCTCATGATGACCGTACCTCGGCTAGGCCCCTGAATAGTAAGGCTCTGGGCGAACTCCCGAAGGCCCAAGGCATCGACACACACTTTCCTTCGAGGCCCTAACAACGGGCGTGGGCCTCGCCCCGAAGACTTGAACTCTCTTATCTGGACAGAGCTATTTGATGAATGACATGGGCATTCGAGGCCTCACCCTAAATTCGTTTGCAGCGTGACTGACGGGCCTTTCTCACCTGAATAATAGAGCAATATTTGCCCTCGTAAACTTGCTATTTTGTTGCCAGTTGAAGCCCTAGGAAAAGAGCAGTTTTCGTATAGGAAGCTCTGTTCCAATTACTGCGCTAAGGTGACAACAATTATCTCTAACTTTAGAAATAATGACACTATTATATTAAGCTGTTACTAAGGAACCATGGAAAGCTTCTGCACCCATCACTGGTATGGAAAGCATTAACATGTTTATTTTGTCTGAGGGCTGGCGAACGCTGTTCGGGAAAGAATGCCGGAGACCCGTAAGCAGACCGCGGGCTTCACTTAGAGTTTCTGGCACAGTATGAAACAGGCTGCCCAGCTGCCCCGCATTCAGATCAAGGCCTTTTTGTCTAAGTGTTTTCCACTCACCTGTGAAAGGGAACATCGGTACAACTGCGAGGCGCCGGACCTGCTCTGTGCCGGGGACACAGGGTTTGCCGCTGCCGGTCATCTACGATTCTCCAAGGCAGGCTTGGGCTTACATTGGTTTTCAACCCGGTCTGTCACATGTTAGAATCCCCTAGGGAACTCTTGGAAAGTATTTCTCAGAGACCATCTGACAGAAGGGCCCTGCACTAGGGCCGAGGACCCAGAGGTCCCACCGAGCCCATGTGGAGACCCTCTGAGCTATGCTTTGTACTTCAACTCAGGGAACAAAAGGAGTCTTCAGGTGTGGATTCAGAGGTTGATGATCAATGGCTTGTTGAACAAAGATGAGAATTGATCTGCCGTACCGCTCTGATGGGAAAAAGGTGGTCCTGATATCATTTTCTGATCCAAAGAGGGACTATTATGTTGATAAAAGTGTCATCAGTGGGCACTAGGCAAAGGATTCATTTTAAGACATTAAGAAATGACAAAACTACCGTGAAGCACCCAGCCCAATGGCTGGTGAAGACGGGTGCTCAGTGTTAACAGAACAATTCAACAGCATGCAATGGCTATTTACAGCTGTGAAGTCCAACTGATGGCCATGAGCCACAAGTAGCTATTTATTATTTTTAATGTTTTATTTATTTCTGAGAGAGAGAGAGACAGCATGAGCAGGGGAGGGTCAGAGAGAGAGGGAGACACAGAACCTGAAACAGGCTCCAGGCTCTGAGCTAGCTGTCAGCACAGAGCCCGACGTGGGGCTCGAACCCACGAACCGCAAGCTCATGACCTGAGCCGAAGTCGGACTCTTAACCAACTGAGCCACCCAGGCGCCTCACAAGTAGCTATTTAAATTTTGATAAGTACCACTTAAACAAAAAGTTCCATTCCTCAGTTGAACTAGCCCCGTTTTAAGTGTTCAGGTGGCCAGTGGCGACCTTAACGGACAGCACAGAGCTGTCCCATCACGGCAGAGCTCTCATGGGCAGTGGTGTACACACACCCTTCCCAGAGGCAACCCCTTCTACACGAGGCCTTATGATTTACTTGTGTTACCAGAGTACATTTATGTGTTACTAGGAACATCTGAAGATATCAGATGATCATTTGCAAACATAAATTAAGTCACTGGAAAACCCTGAAACGAATGACAAGGAAGTCAAAACGTACACCCAAGAGCAATGCACTGCAGCAGCTTCTCAGAACCACAGACGTTGAGTTGGAAGGTCTCTTTGTGAGTCTAAACCACACTTACTCTATGATTTCAAAACAGGGTGGGAGTTGCTGCGACAAGAATGCTAGTCCCCAGGCGTGACTGATGTGTTCTCACAGTGGCTGACTTTTGGTAAAATTCGGATACTTTAAATATGTGAACTAAAACCACGATCACTTTCAAGAGCCACTGCTTTTGTATTCTTTGGGCAAAATATATCACAGCATGAAAGCAGCTGATAAGACCTGCTTCCTATTTTAGGTGTTAAAGAGTGCTATAAAATACCAGACCTGGAAAGAATCTTGGAACCATATAGGCCGACGCCCTAATTTTATAGACAAGGAAACCAAGATGCAGTTAACAACTAGCCGGTAGCAGAATTGAGGCTACCGTGTGGATTCCCTGACGTTAACACGCTCCAAGAATCATTTACACCCAAGTTTCTTGCCTCAAATTTTCTAGGCTTGTTTTTTAGTGATAAACATACAAGATAGCAGGTAAGGGGCTCTCAAATTTTAGAAAGACAGCCGTCTGCCATTGAATGTTTAGTAAGAGAATGACACATTGGTAGATAACATGAAGACCACACTTCTTAGTTATTCACGAGGTCCGTAACTGCAGCCGAATGTCTCCAGAGGCGCTGGGTCCTGGTGTCGGGGCCACGCCATGCCCTCAAAAGACACCATGGCACCAATGGCCCTTTCGTTGCAAATTTCAAGTTGTTTATCTTCAGCATATTCCATAGGGGAATGGTCCCCAGCTTCACTTTTTAAAGAATTCTCCTGTGGCGTTTGTTAAAATACGGATTCCTAGGCCTCCAGCCCAGAGCATCTGAATGAATGGAGCTGAGGGAGAGCCCAGGAATCTGCATTTAACCAGCACTCCGTGATTTTGGTGTAGGTGATCCATGGCCAGTTAGGCCCAATTTGCCCAGCAGAGTCCTGGTTTGCACTTGCACATTCTTTTTTTTTTTTTTTTAGTGTTTTTTTATTTATTTTTGAGAGAGAAACAGTGTGAGCAGGGGAGGGTCAGAGAGAGAGGGAGATACAGAATCCGAAACAGGCTCCAGGCTCTGAGCTGGCTATCAGCACAGAGCCCGTTGCGGGTCTCGAGTCCACGAACAACAAGATCATGACCTGAGCCAAAATCGGACGCTTAACCGACTGAGCCACCCAGGCACCCCTGCACTTGTTTACATTCTTTACAGTAGAGTTATTAATAGTGCTCTTTTCGCTGTTAAAAGTGTCAGGGCCTGGACAACATATGGTCCCCTTTCCTTGATCCATATTTGATAAAGACCGTTATAACTATATGCTGTTAAGCTGCTCCTTTATTTTGCCAACAGGATGTTCCCCACTGCCAAGAATCCAAAAAACCCAAATTTCCTCCAATCAGGCATAATAATTTAAGTAAGGACCCTTGTCCATTCCCGGCAACTCACAAAGGTGCTTGGTGCTGCTCACGTACCGAATTTCAGAAAGCGAGACGACAGGCTCCCAGGTGGGAGGGATGAGAACACAGGCTAGGGCTCAGGAAAAGACCACGCTGACACGCAGTGAATCACAACTACCGTTTTATTGTTCGATGGTGGTGGTACAGAGCTGTGTCCATGCTGCGGGACTAGTTTGGCTGACACATACCACAGATGGCTCTGTGACTCACGGGGAACGTGATCCGAGCCACACGCTTCTCTGGCTGTTGTTTTTCCAACAATCCCAACAACAGAACACTTCTCTCCATAGCACATGAGGTGACGAACTGCCTCAAAGCAGTGTCATCCTCCACTCATGACAGCGTGTACCAGCCAGGCCAGAGAACGGCACAGAACACGAGGGGGCTGGGCTGCACTCTGAATCCCAAGGCAGCTCGCGAGCACTGGACAGGAGTACATTTATCGCCATGACGGAGTCGACAGATACACAAAGCGAACCAGGTCAGATTTGGACGTGGAGGTACAAGACTCATAAAGAACCTTTATTTCATGTGAGCGAATATTCTTCCCGTGTCAAATCAGCGACGGTTCCCAGTTTAGACACTGCTTTTGTGCGTTAAAGAGCTATGATGACAAACTGGCCAAGGGAGTAAGTTCACACTGAAATGTAGCATTAGCTATGTTCACGATGGTATATTTCATCCTGTAATGACTTCTCTTATTTGCTTCAAGCATTTCTTAAGTTTTTGCAACTTGGGTCCTAAATGTGGAAAATACTCAACTTGCAAGGGTTGTGTACTTTTGTGAGGACTCAGAGCAACGGATGGTGTGGTGTCTACGTTAACCTGAAGCAGTAAATTGCAACCTTAGATGACTTTAACACAAGAGATTAGGGTTAGCCAGAAGGCTCGAGCGGTATGCTTCCATTCCGCTACAGCACGCGCCATGTTGTTCCGGAAGGCTTCAAGAGCAAGCCGGGTTTTAATCAGAGCGTAGCACTCAGCATTCAGTCCTAGCACAGTGCTGCCTAAGAGAGGGCTCGCGGTGATGGCGAGGATGGAAATGGGGGAGGGGCCGCTAAGGAGGTCAGCCTCAATTTTTAAAGTACTCAGTACTTTGTATTTTCTAGCTCAACCTTGCCTTGGCTGTCTACTCAGAGTCAAGATGTACTTAGTGTGGTGTGGTCTAAGGAAGGGTTTTAATTAGATGCTCAATGACTTGTGCACATTCACATAAATGGCAGCTCTAACAGGAACTTTTAAAAGTGAAAAGCAAGATACCAAGGGACTTCATGCAATGCTTTCCCCAGGAAAGCGCCAACACGTACAATCTCTCGCTGCACGTCTGATGCCAGCCACGCCGGCCAGGTAAACTCTGCCTCCCGACAGCATTCGGCCTGGTCGCTCGGCAGGCCTTCTCCAGTGTTTTCACGTCCCCACGATGACAGGCTTTGGCTCTAATTATTCTAAAGCATTTGTTCTAATTAAACACGTCAGAGAGCAACCTCAGCAGTTTTTCAGATCCAGGCATAAGCCAGTTCTTCATGTAAACCTAGTGCCTTTTAAAATATTGACTGACGTGTCCCATGGTCATAACAGATCAAAGGACAAAAAGAAAATGGAATTTTTAAGAAAGGGGTACCATGATGCGTTATAAACCACAATATGAACTTTTACACTCCTCCTGCCTGTTTTTGCAAACTCTTCCTGTCACACTACACTAAGCGTGGCTAAATGATGCACGCCTTTGGCTTCCAATCAGATCTAACTTTCGGAATTGTCTTTTTAACGTCCGACACCTAGAAAGAGCCAAAACAGAGTTCGTGTTGAATGTTAGGATCCTTTTTCTTTACTCTCAAAAAGAATCTCAAGGTTAAGAATACCTTAAGACACGAAGTAGTTGTGTCAGTAATATGCATTCCATTCTAAGCTGACCAGGTTGGAAGGCCAAGGTGAACTGAATTGCTGGGAAACCAGCCCTACGTGACAGAGCTGGACATTACTTTGCTAACTGGAGGGCACGCAGCATTTACAGTACATATGCCCTTGGGCAGTGGTGCTATTTTGGCCCATTTGCAAAAGTTATGTGAATTCAAACTAGCAGGCCACTTTTAGGTCGGCAGAAGTTAGAGGCATTTAATGGAATGTTCTTTGAAGTGAAATGCAATTATCCCCAAAGAATTCAATTCTAGTAGAAAACAGAATCCGGTAAGAAAACTAGAAAAGCCAAGAAGCAAACCTAGCAAACAGAATCAAACTTCAGGGTTTTTCTTTCTATAAACATCGCAGATAAGTGTGACAGAGAGACCTTTGTACAGCTACTTAAACAAAGGACGTTTGGTGTCACTTACTATTAAAAGCCCCGAAGTACATAGACTCTGAGTGGTGATATAAGGGTGAGGTTCAAGTTTCTTGGGTAATCTCGTGTTCCTGAGATGACAATACTTTTCAAACTCTAGTTCCAGAAATTTAGACAAGAACTGTCAAATCTGAATACACTGTGATACGGTTTCAGAGATTTCCATGGGGATTCTTAAGAGGCTATTCCCTGAGACCTGAAGGGGAGTGAAAATGTCATCTTCGGAGTATAGAAAAATAGACCATCTAACATCGATTTGGTCTCATCTCCCTTGAAAGAAATTATTAAAATAAAAAGATTTACCAGCACAGTCTAAACTCTTTCAATTTTACCCTTTTGGAAAAAATCTCTTCATTTACCGAGGGCTAGGCACGGTGGGACGCCTTCACAAACCTTCTCCCTCCTCACACTTCTCTTCAAAAGATCATCTCTTTCAAGGTACAGAAATGAAAATACAGTTCTTACGGTTGAAACGAACTTCATGGAATACAGCGATAACTGGCTACCTTTTAAAGAATGTGGCTATAATTCCTCACTTTAGGAAACAAAAACACGAAAAAGTTCGGCAAACTGAATGGGAACCTACAGCGACTGGAACTTTTAAAGAGCGCAATTGCAACTCTGTACTTTTGGAAAATATGAAAAACAAATCTAAAATACCTCTCTATGTAAATGAGAGCTCACGCCATGGTATTCAAAATTAAAATGATTTACATAATCTACTATACTTTCTGGTTTTTTAGTAATTAACCTTCCTGAGACTGATTTTGTTCTCCTCAGTGTTTGCTTAACTAAAGTGCTTAATAAAATTTCTACAGAATATATTACCCTCTCCATAGATGAGTATTATTTTGAACTACAATCTGACAAAAATCTAACTACATTTAATTATGCTTGATTAATCCAAATGTCA